GGTGCCTGTCGTGTGCGCGCTGCTGCCTCAATTGCTGCCGTGTGGTGCGGGTGCTCATAACAAGAGAGGTCTAATTTGTAAAATTGATCTGGAAAAGGCATGTGAATTGAGCCTTTCTAGACTATATGTTGGCAAGGATGCACTTTGGATCCAAATGGAGGAATTGGATGAAGGTATGCATTACAACACCCAGCGTTTCAATATTGATTTATGACTCTAAATGACAAATCAAACTTTCAAGAGGACTAAGGCAGGGTGACCCTTTGTCTCCATCACTCTTCCTCATTGTAATGGAAGGTTTGAGAAGGATGGTGGAAAAAGCCTCGGATTGAGAATATTTAGAGGGTTTTGAGATTAGCAACAATGGAATGAAGGTGCCTGTCTTGCAGTTCACAGATGATACACTCTATTTTTGTGATTCCAAGGTGGAACAGGTAAGTAACTTAAAACACTTTTCTGGTTTGAAGTGGTATCAAGCCTGAAGGTTAATCTTTCTAAAAGTGAAAAGATGGCAGTAGGGGAAGTGCCAAATGTGCAAGACTTGGCTGATGTACTAGGCTGTAAGGTGGGAAGAATCCCTTCCAAATATTTGGATCTTCCTCTTGGTGCAAAGTGCATTTCCAAATCTTTGTGGGATCCTGTCCTTGAAAGATTAGATTCAAATCTGGCTTCCTGGAAGGCTCATTACCTATCCAAACGAGGTAAGGTGAATTTAATCAAAAGTGTATTGGATAGCCTTCCATCCTACTTCTTATCCATCTTCTCAATTCCTTCTGGTGTGGCTGATAAAATAGAGGAGAAAATGAGGAACTTCCTCTGGGCTGGATGGAAGGACTCAAACAAGCATGACCTGGTTAACTGGGAGCAGGAATGTAAACCTTTAAGCCGGGGAGGACTTGGAATCAGGAAGGTTAAGTTGTTCAATATTGCTTTGTTGGGAAGATGGTTCTGGATGTTTTTGGCCAAGACAAACAGCTTGTGGAGAAAGGTTATTGAGAAGTATAGCTCAAGAAGCAATGGGTGGGGCATGATGGATTCCAATCTTTTCTATGGGTGTACAGTGTGGAAAGGCATTTGTAGAGCTTTTGGTAAGTTCACTGAAGGTTTAAAGCTCAAAGTGATGGATAGGAGGAGGCTATGTTTTTTTGGTTGGACCCTTGGCATGGGGTAGTGCTCTAAAAGATGTTTTCCCGACTCTTTTTACTATGGTTGTGGACAGGTCAGCCTCAATGGCAAATTCTTTTGTGGTGGAGAACAATAGGATTATATGGTTACCTTCCTTCAGGAGAGGGTTCAATGATTGGGAACTGGATTTGGTAACCCATCCTTCAAAATCAACAGTTGAACTTGCAAGTTCGAGATACAAGATGTTGGAAGTGGATAAATTCTGGAGAGTTCTCTGTAAGTCCTATTTGTGTCTTGTTGGAGAGTCAAGAGATCCATTCCCTAGAAAATCCATTTGGGGGATAGAAGCTCCCTCCAAAGTTAAATTCTTCCTTTGGAAGGCTATTTTGGATAAATGTTTGACAAAGATCATGCTGGTGAAGAAGGGCTTCAATGTCCCTGACCTGCTTTGTGTTTTCTGTAACCATGAGGTGGAGACGTCCAGTCATTTATTTCTGCACTATAGTTTCAGTGCTTCAATCTGAAACAATTTTCTCGATGCTATAAACTTGCATTGGTGCACCCCTTGGTTGGTGCAAGACCTGTTAAAAGGCTGGCAGGTCCAGGGTATGTCTAGAAAGGGAAGGTCTTTGGTCCTCTATTCTGGCTGAAATTTTGTGTGCCATCTGGCTGGAAAGAAATTGCAGAATTTTTGAGCAGAAGATGGCTTCAGAATCAATGATGATTAATGGAGCAGTAGGGTTCTTGAAGAGTTGGATGTCTGTCCATAATGTATTTAGATTTTTTTTTTTTTTTGAGAAAAGGAAAAGTATAGTTCTATTAAAGAAAAAAAAGTGCTTTGTACAATGAGAAGCTGTACAAAAAGCTGCCATGCAGGACTCAAAAAAAAGGCCATCCTCAAAAAGGTACTACCAGAAGTATCCTCTTTAAAATCAGTATGTATAGACAACCAACTCTTAATAACCCCTATAGCTGTATTGATGATGTCAGCTTCAGAGGAAGCTTTGTGTTCAAAAGTCCTGTTGTTCCTTTCTAGACCCACAGCCCACAGAATTGCCAAAGGAATGGAGGATCAGCAAACTTTCCCTTTATTGGTCAACCCAGATATGTGCCGTTCCTCAAATAGAGCTTTCACTGAGACAGGCATGCACCAACTTGGTTCAGGGCCTTCAAGAAGAGTAACTCCAAATTTCTAAAACAAACTTGCAATGTAAGAACAGATGTCTAACAGACTACAGCTCCACATTTCAAAGAAAGCACCTCAGGTCATTGCAGATAAAACCTCTCTTCATCAACATTTATTTGGAAAGACATTTCTCTAAAGCTGATACCCATACAAAATACTTGACTTTTGAGGGTGCTGCTGTCCCCCAAATGGCCTGGATAGGAAAGGAGAATTCATTTTCTCCCACTAGAAAGCTGTAAAAGGATTGACTGAGATCTCTCCTGACTTGTTCCACTTCTACACTCTTGTGTCCTGAGTTTGTAAATTTAAAGCCTGGTTTTGGAGTAGAGTGAGGATATTTTCTACCATCTGAATCTCCAAATCATTAAAGACCCTTCTAGAGGATGGAGTCCAGCAAATGCTATTGTCAATCAACACAAAAGAGTCAGCTGCCAACGCCTCCTTGTCTGTTGCCACATTGTACAGTGCAGGAAATAGCTCTTTAAGAGTGCTCTCACCAGTCCAGGGATCTAACCAGAACCTGAGCCTTCTACCATCTCCAATTTTATATCTAATACACCTTCTGAAAAGTGTGGAAGCTTTAAAAATTCCTTCAAATTCCTTTCCACATGCTGCACCCAAAAGCCGGAGGGTAATCCAGCATCCCACCCATTACTGTCTAGTCCATATTTCTTGGCTATTACCTTCCTCCAAAGTTTATCTGACTCAGCAGCAAACCTCCAAAGCAAACTACCAGTAAGGCTAGGCTGAAGGACTTTAAATGTCTTATCCCCAAACCACCTTGGGATTGGGGATACCTTTTCTTCTTCCTTTTTTAGGATGGACTTTCTTGGGGGTCCCTAATTGGATGTTATGTACAATTTCTCATTGTACAAAGGGCCATGCTTTTGATATCAATACAACTTACTATACTTTACCTTTCTTAAAAAAAAAAAATTGATATCGACAGAAGTGATCTGATTACAGTGGGAGAAGGAAGAGATCTACAGTTTCTGGCAGATTATTTTGGGTGCAAAACCAGTAAGCTGCCCACAAAGTAATTGGGAATGCCTCTAGGAGAAAGGTGTATTTCAAAGAAGATTTGGGAGCTGGTGATGGAGAGGATAGAGAGAAAGCTGGCTTTGTGGAAAACAAGAGACCTCTCAAAAGGAGGGAAATTTGAACCGAAGTGTGCTATCATCGGTGCCAACATACCTACTTTCTTTATTACCAGTTCTAGATGGGGTAGCAAGAACAATTGAGAAGATGAGAGACTTCTTATGGAAGGGATGGAAGGATGAATCCAAATTTCACTTAGTTAAGTGTGAAGAGAAGATGGAGGGTAGTTATGTAATTTTACCTTTTCTTTCTTGTAATCTAGTAGGCATGTACATTGGTGTACAGCTCTTTTCTTTTATTTATTTTGTAAGGACAATCTTGTCCTTAGACAGTTTGGGAAAATACAAATATTAGCATCCCCTATTAGACAGTATAAATGGTTGGACTTTTGTTACATAGAGGCATTTAAAGTGAGCACTCATAATTTTGGAGAGTCAATGCGTGGGCAATTTGGTAAATCTGCCTGGTTCACATTGTAGCCACGTCTGACATGCATTTTGTAGAATCAGACATGAGATGAGTTAACTCATAGAATGAGTCATAAACTCACAAATCCCCTCCAAAGGTGGGGTCTCCATGCAACACTGCATACAGGATGAAGTGGATTGCTGGATTGAGTAGGTGTGCAACCCAAAGGGTCCACTACTTGGTAGATGGCTTGGATTAGACATGTCATCCCTTTACATAGAAGAAATGTGGCAAGTTGAGTAGAGAAACTCCCTACTTGAGCCAAGTTACCATAATAAACAATTTTTATTCTTCGCATGATCAAGGAAAGCACAAACTTATCTGACAACATTGTGCTACTTAAGACACTTTCATTGTTTGACATTTTAATAGTCTTTTTTTTTTCATAAATAATTTTAATAGTCTCAGTTCAGTACTTAGATGTATACAAGCACAAACAAACTCATTTCTAGATTAGTGTATAAATAAAATTCGTAATGACTTCTGAATAAAACATGAAGCAGAACCCATTGAAATAAAAATATTGCAAATTTATAGCAGTTATGGTATATAATTGACCACAAACAACAAAAATAAACACTGTAAATGAAGTTTAGATGAAAATTTGCTTAAAGGGAACTCACCTGAGAACAAGCCTCCTGGTACCTTCCAACGGCACAGAGCAAGTGTGTGCCAGATAGCGACTTGTCAGTCCTCACCATATTGGCTGCAACAACCTAGATGATACTACAGTTTAAGCATCTCTGAAATACATGTAGATAGGTAGAGAGACTAAATCACATTTCAGATGTTAACACTGAAACATCAATAAGCTATCCATATTCACCTTAACAGCAAGTTCATGCAGAGACCTTGACACAGCAGAGGAAAGAGCAACCGCACGTAGAGCATTGACATAGAAATAAGAGCTTTCAGGAGGAGTGGAAAGAAGTAAGCTAACAGCAGCTTCTAAGTTTCCAACAGAAACAAGCCTGATCATCACGTAACACTAGGTCATTAAAATTGATTAATCAACTTGCAAGTGCTTTGAAGTGATTAAAAATTTAAAATCCATAGTAAAGCAACAGATTGGAGTGGCAAAAACTCAAAAGATTACTAGGGTACAACATTTTTCTTTTATCAGCAAAAAGAAATTTTATTGAGGAAAATATAAAGAAACATCAAGCTGGGAAAATTCTCCACCCTATATCAAACAAAATATTACAATTTTGCCCAAAACACTTGATGTCTAAAAGTCCTTTGTTTAGCTAGAGTATCCACCATCCCATTAGTAGTTCTCCTCACCCATTTAAAGGTGACAGTTAGCTCCCTTATTATACTTTCAATCTCCCGAAAGGTGCCTCTATGGATCCAAGGGATTTGGATATTACATTTTGTCAAGGAAAAGACCACTTCCTCCAACTAATGGAATCCAGGCTTCTTTGCAAACTTTACACCTCGGAATAAGGCCAACAATTTTTCTGCCAATGAATCACCATGCTCAGCGGGTCCTGAAAATAAAGTTAGTACCTTGCCCTCGGAATCACAGAAAACCCCTCCTAGTCCTAACCTAGCCACACCTTGGTTGCCTATAAAGCTTCCATCAACGTTAAGCTTTATAAAGTTGGCCACCAGAGGTCTCCAATCCATGATTGTTCTTTCCTTTACTTGATCCGAAAGTGTCATTTCCTTCCAATTTCTCAAAATGTCATTCAATGAGAAGACTTGAAAGTCTTCCAAAGTCTTCACCCAATGTGCAACTTTTATTTTTATTTTTTCCAGGACTTCCATTTCGGATTGGCTCTTCTCATTGAAAATCCTTCCATTCCTTTCTTCCCATATGATCCAAATCAAAGCTGCCCTTACTGCTCTCCACAAAATCCTTCCTCTTTTCTTTGGCTATTTCAAGAAGTTGGGATCAAAGAGACCCACCACATCCAAAGGGGAAAACCACTTGCCCCCAAGGAGAGAACAAAGATGCTCCCATATACAAAGCACAAAAGGGCAGGAAAAACAGACATGGGAAATGGATTCACCACTTCCTTTGCAAAGGATGCACATATGAGGGGAAAGGCATTTGTTTGGCCTCCTTTTCTGCAATACATCATAGGTGTTTATCCTCCCAAGGAAAGTCTCCCAACAAAGGGCCTGAATTTTAGGAGGGATTGGCCTACTCAAAATTTCTTTCACCAATTTTTTTTTTTTTTTTGATAAATGAGGTTGTATTAAAATATTAAAGAAAGAAGAACAAGTTAACAAGCCATCCAAAGATATTGACCAAACCCTAGTGTCCTCTATGCTTTGGTCAAAAAAAAAACTGAATCAAGCTTGGCCAAGAGAAGGATGAGAGATTCACACTCCATCTCCTGAAGACCCCTTCTAAACCCAAAATCCCAATTTAAACCCAAAGAGGAGAAAACCACAAATTTAGCAATGGGTTCATCCTTGTGCTTGGAGAGTGCATAGAGTAAAGGAAATTGGACCTTAAGTGGATTTTCACCTACTCAAAGGTCCTCCTAAAATAAGACTCCTTAGCGCATTTCCCACATCAAACCAAATATGGTTAATAAAAAAGGATATATCTCGTGTATTGCTTTCCAAGGAGAGGTAGAAGTTGCATTGGGAGCTACCTTTGCATCCCATCCATTCTCAGATCATCCATGTATGCTTGCAATTACCATGTGTCAAAGCCTCTCTCTTTCTAAAGGAAACCTCCACAGTCAATTTCCTAGGAAAGCTATGTTCTTCTAGACTATGTTGGCTAACCCAGGCCTGCCCTTCTCTTTAGACCTACAAATCTGTTCCCATTTAACTAAGTGGTCTTTCTTCTAACCCCTGGTTCCCAAAGGAAGTCTCTCATAAGCTTACTAGGGGACAACATTTCACAGACACAATAACATCCACCTTTCTTTTTCTTTCATTTGACAAGTAAAAGCTCAAGGGATCAAAGAGCAAACCCATGTAGAAAATCACTATTCATTAACAAATAAAAAGCAACTACAAAGTAAAAAGGATGGCATAGCGACTCCTAAACAATTAATTATGGCTGTTTAAACTAAACAAAACCACTCATCCAACAAAGCATTCAGATAGGTGGGATGGCAACCATTTCAAAAGGACTTGGTTTACAACACTGCATTTTAATATTTCCTCTTTACATGAAATTATTGTCCATTGTAAATTTAGAAACTTGAAACTTTTTCTGCCAATATATGCCAGACTCCTCCAGTATCATGGGAGTGCATATCATGATCAAATTGTGAAAATTACCACCTTTTTTGTGACTGATAACAAGAGGTTCTTGTATGAGATGAAAAAGAAAATACAGAGGATCGACACAGCCTTTTTTTTTAGAAAATTTAACCAGAATTCATTAAGATAAAGAGAGGGAACATGGGAAGATATACAAAGCAGGGGAAGAACCCCTACAAGTTACAAAAGAGGAAGCTTGTCACTATACAAATGCTCCAAATACACACCAAATTTAGCTAGGCCATCTGCAGTATGATTGTGTTCCCTAGGAATCCAAACTAAATTAACATTTAAACAGTCCAAAGAATCCCAAGCCTCTGTCAGATAATGATTCAGTCTCCAAGGACCCCCCCCCCCTCTTTGTCTCCTAACCATTTTATCGTATTTGCTGAATCACCTGCAATGATCAAATTCTGAATTCCCAAATTTTTTATTATCCTGATTCCGGTGAGAGCAGCCATCACTTCAGCCTTTGTGGAGTCAGCCAAGCCAATTGGACCACTAAAAGTCCAGCATATATTGCCCCTTTCGTCCCGTACTGTACCTCCAATACCAGCTAATCCAGGGTTACCTAAGGCACTACCATCGAAGTTAAGGGTCATCACTCCTTCACTGATGGGGACAAGGTGCCTCAAGGATGCTTGCTAGGGATGAGGGAGAAACAGAAAGGGGTAAACATCTCTATTAACATCATTGACTGAAAGTCCTTTGAACAGATCTGAATTCACCGTCCAGAGGTTGCAAAGGTAAGTAATATCTGAGATTAATTCCTCCAGGGTTCTGCTTTTATTGTCAAAGATGCGATTGTTTCTTTCATCCCAGACACCTCACAACACTGCATGTAGCACTGATTGCCAAAAGACTTTACCCCTTTTACTTAACCATGTTCCTTGCCATTGATGCAATGTGTCCATAATGTGTTTTGGAAAAGCCCAGCTATAACCTGCCATTTTCAAGAAGTGGGACCATATCTTTTGGGTGAACCTACAGTGAAGAAGGATGTGATCTGCAGATTCACCTTCGCTGAAGCATAGAATACAAACATGAGGAGATATGGAATGTCTTCCCAAAAGCTTTTTCTGTAGGAGATCACAAGTATTTACTTTCTGGAGACAAGCTTCCCAAACAAAGAAGAAAATTCTTGAAGGGATGTGGCTACACCATATTTTCTTATAAGGAAAGAAGGAATGCTGATCATCAGCGGTCAAAGCCTTGAACATAGACTTAGAAGATGTAGAGAACACTGATGTAGGCCCCACAGCTGTGGTTCCACTCTGTCCGTAGGGTAGAATGTATCTAGTCATAGCTGATGGTCAAYYTRYTATTCWRTTATTCTAGTTGTTATTTACTTTTCAGTTTTATATTGTTATGTGTTATGATGTAAACACCAAGGGCAGATGTGTCCTTTCATGTAACTAGCATAACATATAAATATTWAMTTRAARTGGCGGCGGCAGAATATTGAGATTCTGTTCTTCTCCTCAAAGCCTGTGTTCTACTGCTCTCTCACCACTCTTTCTCTTCTTTCTTCTTCACTTTCTCTTCTCTTCGAACCTGAAGTTTCTTAGTGATCAAGACTGATAGCAGTCTTGAACACCTACAGAAGAGAATTCACCATTTGGGTGTAGGGTCCAGATTCGGGTGTCAGAATAAGAGGGGGAGATGTAGGCTTCTTTGAGGGTCTGAATCAGGGCTATTAAATCAGAAATCTCCGAGTCCCTTAGGGGTCTTCTGAGGTGGAGGTTTAAGGAGTTTTCGGCAGTTTGGTTTGGAAGGCAGGAAGAAATAGTGGCTTCTTGGTCGAGGGTAAGGTTAAAAAGCCTAGGGAAAGAAGCTTCCAGAGTGGATTCCCCCCACCAAAGATCTTTCCAGAATTTAATTTTAAAACCATTTCCCACTTTATACCTTATAAAAGGAAAGAAAGAAGTATGAATGGAACAGATACCTTTCCAAGGATTTGTGGACTTTATCCTATTCAAATGGAGATTGCAATCCCACCCATTTGCATTTAGTCCGCATTTGCTTGAGATGACAGTTGTCCAAAGAGCATTGGGCTCTTTCAGAAATCTCCAGAGCCATTTGCCTAAGAGAGAAGAACTTTTCTCTTTAAGCTGTCCAATTCCCAAACCACCTTCCTCTTTAGGCCTGCATACTTGTTTCCAGTTGACTAAATGGCTTCTCTTTTCCCCACCACCTTCCCAAAGAAAGTTCCTTTGAAGCTTCTCAATCTGATTTCTGACTTTGGTCGGAATTTGGAAGACTGAAAGAAAGTAGACTAGCAAATTTGATAAGGAGGCCTTTAAGAGAGTAAGCCTACCCCCTTTTGAGAGATAACACTTTTTCCAAGTCAATAGTTTCTTCTCACAATTCTCCACCACTAGCCTCCAGAAATTGAGGAATTTTGGATTCCCTCCAAGAGGCATCCCAAGGTAGGAAATAGGGAGGTTCTCCTCTTTGCACCCCAACAAAAGATTTGAAATTTTCTAGAAGTTCCACTTCCACTGAATTAAGGGCTACAATACTACTTTTGCAAAAATTAACCCTCAAACCAGTGATAAGCTCGAAAACATTCGATTACCATTTTAGTGTTTGTGATGTTGGTTGTGGAGGCATCCAAGAACAGGATTATGTCATCGGCGAACTGTAAGTGTGAGATGTGAATCTTATCCCTACCCACTTCAAATCCTTTCACCAAGTTAAGAAGAATGGACTTATCAAAAAGATAGTTAAATACATCCATCACCAAAGTGAAAAGTAAGGGGGAAAGAGGGCAACCTTGTCTTAGACCCCTACTAGCCTTGAAATAACCTTTTGCTTCACCATTTATCAATACTGAAAACCAAGGAGAACCAATACAACCTTAATCCACCTGATCCATTTTCTACCAAAGCCTCTTAGCCTTAAGGAATTAAGAATACAGTCCCAATCCACTTTATTGTACGCCTTTTCCAGATCAAGTTTCACAAGGACCCCCGGGATCCCAGAAGATTTTCTGTCTTCCACACACTCATTTGCAATAAGAATGCTATCCACAATTTATCTTCCTTTTACAAAAGCAAACTGATTTGGGGAAATTAGATCTTCAAGGACTTCTTTAAGTCTGTTGGCCTGTACCTTCACCAAAATTTTATAGATGCTCCCTATCAGACTTATAGGTCTAAAATCTTTAACTTCCAATACTCCCCCTTTCTTCGGGATGAGGCAAAGAAAGGTAGAGCTTAGACCTTTGTTAACAATGGCAGAAGAGTGGAAATCCCTGAAAAAATCCATAAGATCTGACTTTACAATTTTCCAACACTTTTGGAAGAAAAGAATAGGGAAGCCATCCGGCCCTGGAGCCCTATCTCCATCCATGCTGAAGATAGTCTTTTTAACTTCTTCCTCGTCGAAGCTTCTTTCCAACCAATCCCTCTTTTCATCATGGGAAGAAACAACATCGTACATAATATTTAATATAAAAAATGCAAAATACAAAGGGAGCACACAGAGTTAACATGGGCTAATTACTCTAACAGAATTCTCACCAATAGATTGTCTGACTTTGTACATAATAATCAAGATTATTAGCAAACCTAAGCACTGAGCAGAACAAGATGTTCAAGCTGGATTCCAAGACATCAACCTCTCTAGTATGTGGAATGAGATGTTCAATATGTAACTGAGGGAATGTGTCTTTATCAGTCTTTGATCTTCTGTTAAGCTTTTCTACTACAAACTTTTCTAAATAGCATGAGAAAGGCAAGGTGCAGCTTTCTTATTGCTGCCTCTGTTGTTATTTTCTTTTGTTTGGGACTGCTTGCCTGAATATATATGCCTTCTTATTTTTACTTTAAATATTGTATCCCATTACCTATCAGTCAAAAGAGAATCAACAAGGATCTTCAACAATAAACCTACTTTGTCCTTCCCTTTTCACTATTTTGGGTGATGTGTTGGGCAGATTAATGAGTAAAGCTCAGAAGTTATAATCTGATGGGAGGGTTTAATGTAGGTTTGAGGTGCCTCTCCTCTAATTGCGTGAAATGGCCAATTCATACCATGCAAAATACACTTGAAATACAGCTTCCATGTATTAAGTTCATGAAATGTCCATTTTTTGACCAAGTCCAAAAGTCACATGGGAGGAAGAAGTCAACTTGTAGTTTACTTGTCAGTAACTTCCTATGGATGTCCAAACAAAAAAAAAGAAACAAAAGGACTGGTCATTTTGTCTGAAAGCTCTGTCATAAGGAGTTAAATCTCAATAATGATCCAGGAGACCCATGAATTCACTCCCACCCTCCTCTGGTGGCCTGGTGGGCTCCTTTTTACAGGAAACTTGTTCTCAAGGACAATAGGATTTTTTTTATTAGTACCTGTAAATTTTATTGACTTTTCTGATATATATATATATATATATATATATATATATATATATATATACATATATATGTGGCTTTACAGAAGAGACTGTAACACATTAGAACACTTGATTAGAGGCAGCCCATAGCTGCTCCCCCTGCACCAAGGAGAGCAATAGTTGCCTAAGGAACACTTTTCCTACTTCAGTAGAATGTCCAAGTAATACATGCTAATTTCTAAATCTACCCAATACAATTAAAGAAACCCAAAGAGAAAAACCTAAACACCATCCTCCTAGGGCTGCTAACAGATCAGGTCAAATTGGATATACTTAGAACCAAATTTGATTTGTTTTCGGATTTGAATCAAATACCATCCGTCAGATTTATATTGGATCACGATTGAAATTGGATGTTGAATAGCATTAATAAATTAAATTAGAAATGATCAGAATATAATATATGTAATAAAATGAACTAAAAGTAACTTTGATATTGTATATCATGAACTGAATGGGTTGAAATTAACTTGTATGAAACTTGAACCAATGACTCTTTGGTAAACATACAACATTCAAACCAATCCAATAACTACAATATAATTTTTAAGCATATATAAGTGTGTGTGTGTGTGTGTGTGTGTGTGTGTGTGTTATCAGACCAAATCAGATCTTAACAGATCAGATAAGGGTGGTCCATATTCAATCCAATTATAAATGAACCAAATTAGGTGACCCTTAACAAAAACGAATTTGGATTCAAATTCAGACAAATAGATACCATTTGTAGTCCTACATCCTCCATATCCTCAATTGCTAAAATGATAGAACTTCCATTCCTAAAGAAATGATAGTGATATTAGCCTTTGACATCTTATGGTTCATTTGATCACCAAAATAGTTTTAAAACCTGGACTGAACGTCAACAATGTCAGAGGATGTTCCACCTGTATTGGACTCCTAACTGGACAGGACAGGATTCATAACATGGCAATATAATATCAAACTCAAAGTGTTATATTTACTCATAAAATTTCCTACATTTATATAGTGTGTCTGTGCCACTGAGAGAGCAAACATAAGAACAAAAATTTTTTTGATCATTGAATAGTAAGATTTATTAAATCATAGCCAAAGAGAGTACAAATCAGGGAGAGGCACGAGATAGCATAAGAACAAAAATTTGGTGGAAGAGACTCACTCATGTACATGGTTCTGAATTGCCTCTTCTCCTTCTAATTTTTCATGCCATGGAATACGCTCATTAGCACTTTCCCACAACTCTTCTTGATCAAAGGCCATTGATTTAAGTTGAAGATATTTCTGTTGGAAAAACATCTATTTTAGAATATAGAAAACCACACAAGTACAGGAAATATGCCTGCTTGATAGCACTCAAGAGATGGAAAAGTTACACAGCTTTCCAAGTTTTGGCTTCTGATGCTCGTATACTCCTTGTATACTTTCCCCTTTCTTCATTTCTTTCTTTTTTTTATCAGCTTTCTTCATTCTCTTTCCAATGATTTCTCTTTTCTTCAATGTTCTATTTTCTATAAAAGAAGAGTCTGAAGTACCACTAGTCACTATTTCTTTTTTCATCAGTAAAAGTATTTCATTAAAATTAATTCAGAAACTTAGTACAATTATTATAGCATCCCAGCCTAGGGTGTCTTGGAGGTGGACTGTCTTGCTTAGTACAATTCAGAAACTTAGTATAATTATTATAGTATCTCAAGGAGGTGGACTGTCTTGTGTCTGGTGCAGTGGGAAAGCTAGTGTCTTGGACTGCAGGTGTGAAAGGCTTCCAGCCTAGGGTCTTGGCGTCTCAGTTAAGATCTGTTAGTATATTTGAGATGTAATGTAAGCTGAGAGGCTGTTTTCAGCCTTTGCTCCCTTCTGGGAGTTCCTTTGTATGGTTCTGAATTCTATCAATAAATTTACCTTACCTTTTTCAAAAAAAAGAAATTATTATAGCATCCCAGCAGACCAATTTACATCAGATTACAGCTTTGCCCAAAACAAAAAGGCCTATCAACTCCTTGTTTTTCTAACACATCTACCATCCCAATTGCAGTCCTTACCCAGCTGAAATTAGAATTAAACCTCTTTGCTAGGAGACAATCTCCCTGAAAGCATGCATGTATTTCTTGCCAAGTCTAGTAACTGATTTGCAAGCTGAGTTCATATATGTAGGTATTAGACCTGTTCACGAGCCAAGCTTCAGGCTCAATTTTACACTGTCTTGGGCTCGGGCTTCAGGCCAGGCCCATTAGAAGTTTGGAAAAAGCCAAGCCCGAGCCCAGCCCATGAAACAGGTCTAGTATGTATGTATGCATATAATAATGACTTGCTAGTATATACTTACAGTCGTGTCCCTATTTTCCTTTCCTAACACTGATCTTCCTCTTGATGTTATTCTACTTAAAGTAGATGGCTCTCCAAGCTCTGGAGCTGATGTTGATACAGAAGCTTTCTGAGGAAATCTCTTAGCTGATTTGTTCATAAAATGGGGAAGAGCACGAGGCAAATGTAACCAAAAAAGTGCTTCTGAATATTCACCAAAGACTGCAGCAGCAAAAGCAAATCTTGCAGCAGAACCTTTATTGACCACAGAAGCATATATCTTAGCTGTCTCATCATCAAGAATGCAGCCTTGAACAAAGGAAAAATAGAATTGGTGTGTAAGCCAAAGGCAAATTGAACAGAGTCTTCAGGAAACTAGAGTCAAATAAACAGCACAGAGAAGACACAGAAAGCCCACCGTCTTTTCGATATGGTTCTAGCACCTTAAGAAGCATTTCTGGCACCACTGAGTCACCAATGTTGGGAAGGTGTGAATCAATCATATAACCACGAAGATCACCTTTGGATGAAACAGCTCCATGAATTTGATAAGGGTCCTTATCTTTAGTCATACTGAATGTATTGAACCAAGATGGCTTTACGCCCAATTGCAAGACCATTCTCAGTGCCTGCAGTTATAAAGACATCAAATTACAACCCAACTAGTGACCAAATCTGTTGGCCCATTTCTAGCCTGCAAATTCTGCATCAAACATGTCAAATTCTATACTTGCATATCTGCAAATGTGTCACTTTACCAGCAACACATGCATGTTCTACATCACCCCTCCTGCCATAAATGGTCAGATCAAACTCTGCTACTTTAAATAGCTGTGAGTGACTAATAGATAGTTATTGCAACTATTAATTTTTATTTAGCTTCAACCGAGTCCTTGACTGGAAAGTTAACATGGCTGATCATTGGACATAGATCATTAAACTATCAAACGTATGTATAATAAGATGAGATGGTGTACTAATTCATTGAAAGGCAGAAAAAAAGTTACCAAGGCATGTGGTGTAGGAAGCAGAATGGGAGAGCACAAGGGCATTGGCCGGAATCTCTCTTTGATGGCTCTAGGCTGGGATCCAAAGCCAGACCTCTTATCGCTACTGTATCAAAAGAAAGAACAGGAATCATACCAAACCCCAACAGACCATCTATGAAAAATAGCTTGTATATGAGGATCTAAATGAATAGAGGCATTTGAAGAAAATAGTAATGCTAAACAGGTCATAAGTATGTATACGAAATACCAGTTTACATAAACGCACATTAATATGTAGCTGAAAAATATTGAAAATGTTAAATATTAGGTGCTATGTAAAAGTTTCTGCATGAGTGCTTTCAATCAGATTTTGGATAATCACAGATTAGAAAGTAGGCACTAGAAGAGAAAATATTAATGGGCCTGACATTATGAGAGATATAAGAGCAGTAACAAGGGAAATGAGAACCAACTTTTTCCAGGTTCATAGATCAGCAAACTGTTTGGCTGAGGCCATGGCCAAACAAGGGGTACATAGGATTTAGAATTCTTGGGGGAATATCCTAAGAGCTTGTTATGTAAAAAAATAAATAAAGGACTAGGTGGCAGATGCTGGCTTAATATGTGGGATGTTTAGCATGTTTGTAATCAAAACATTTTTTATTTATTATCTAATAAAGGTTTATAGTTACCAATAAGAAAACATTAACAAGTCTACACTTTCAGATTACAAATATAATGCTACAAATTTGAGGCAAGAGAGTAACTGCACTAGTCTACGAGGACATTAAAACACAATTTGGTTTGCATATAAATACTAAGCTACCATATATCTTTAAAAATCCATTAATCAGAAATTTTTCAAAACATATTATAACATAAAGGATATGCATTAAGAAACTTTTTATGTACTAATTCATACAAGTACCTGGTTGCTGTTTTTTGGGATCAGGGTCAATTTATATAATCCTCATCATATTGGGCTCTTTGTGCCCTCTCTGCTTTGTTTTGTATCTTTTGTTTTATCAATAAAATTTCATTCTTTCATCAAATAAATAAAATGAAAGATATAAAAATACCAATGACTGAATGTGAGGACATACATATTAACCTCAATAAGGCGAAAGCTACTATCAGCTCCAGCAATGCACAATACAAGTGGTTCGTTTTTATCTGTTCGCAAAGACAACCAATCAAGCTCCAATACAAGGGTTCCAGGAAATTGTGGTTGTAAAAGGGAATTAGCTAATGGATCTTGTGAATCCTGCAAATAAAAAACATAATAGTCAGTTAAATTTCATTAAAAAGGTATTGACCAGAAGCATACATTTAGATGAATCAACTTTGGGTGTACATTACACCCCAAAATATGCTACATCTATTACTAGGCTTTGGCCTATTATAGATAAATTTTCCACTTTATGCAGGAAACCCTCCCAATCTAGATATAAATTATGGCCCATCAATAAACCAAGATAAAATATGATGAACATATGTCCTGGATATTTCTTTCGCTGATTTTGAAGAGATAGCTGCCTAGCCTGGACTATAGGATTGGTTGACCCACCACTGAGTCCCCTTTACAGGTCTAAAATCCTCCAGGTTTCAAAATTTTAAAAAGCTGCCAAATTCAGCCTTCACCTACTGACACATCCACTTGAATCACTAAACTGTTCAAGTCTGAAATGGTTTTCCTTGACCTGGATGGATCTAACAAATTTTCAGTAAGACATTATTAATAGAAAATAATACTTTTTTCATCTACTATGCTTAAATACTTTCATCCATTTACTGATGCTAATATTACAACTATTATTGATTTTTATGATTTCTGCAGTGTAATTTAATGATAACATCACAGGTCACTTGGTGACCCAGTGGTTAGATCAGTGAACCATTACCAAATTAATGGTCGATCACATAAATATAAGAAATGAAGAATATTAGGAAATGTTTTGAAAATCATAATCATATCATAAATAGTAATTTTTTTGTTTTTTTTACAAACTTGCCAAAAATTTAAATAGATATACTAAAAATCTAAATGTATATATAGAAGAAGTAATTTTTGCCTATTTTTAATCCATACTACCATCTGTGTATCTAAAACAATAGAGTTTACCACTCCTACACTTCAGGCCTAAGATGAAATAATTAAGTTCAACTTGAAAGTCAAATGATCCATATAGAATGGCTCTTTCACCTACATATGATGGAAAATAAACTCAATAAGGTTTCTAAAAGGTGTTAAATAGCATGAAGAAATCATTTTCTAGTAAATGATTTAAAACGACTTCTTCGTAATTAAAAGAAAAAAAAAGAAATGACAAAGTAGAGAACTAATTCTTAATTGAATTGATTCTAATTGCATGAATCATATAAATTGTAAGATTCATGAACCTAATTGTAGGATTCAAACAAAAAACGTAAGATTTTCACAGAAAAGTAATCAGACAAAATTGCAACCCTCAAAACTCACAATGCAAACTGTTGAAATCAAGGCTTTCAAGGAAGAGGAAGTGTGTGGGCAACTGGGCATGCTTGTAATATGTACCCTAACATAGAGATAGGGTTTCAAAGGAGGCTACCCTATCTATGATAGTATGCATATTACAAGCATGTCCACATGCTTCCTCTTCCTTGAAAGCCTCACATCAAGGCAAGTCTCAAGGTGTAAGCCTCGTATACATTTTAAAACACTGCCATGATCTCATCCCTTTACAGGTTGAGGAATTGTCGTTGTCGGGTTTCATTGTTTTTATAATAGATATGAAGGGCCCGGATTTAGAAATGATGTTAGCATAAACTTCTAAATTTCAGTCCACTTGGGTCATCACAAGATCTAAAACCATAAGGAAAGAATTTGCAACTTAGAGAAGCATGCTTGCAGGATTCCTCCTGTGAATGGATCAAAATAACATGACGTATACAGAAATTTGTTGTCAAACATTACTTGTAGTGCCATTTCAAGCCCAATAGGAATTAGGGAAAATTCGTGATTAGTACCCTGTACTTTGGACCTAGTGTCACTTTAGTCCCCGAACTTTAAAATGTGACAATTCAGTACCCAAACTTTGAAAACATGACAATCCAGTACCTGTTGTTAACTAGCTTTTAACCAGCCATTAAGAGGCATTTGAAAAAGACATAAATGCCCTTCAAGTGTCATCTAATTTTCTTTATCAACCATCCAAACATTGACAACAAATTAAGTCTCAGATCCTTGCCTTTTCTATTCAAGAAAGTTGGGGTCCCAGAATGCCCACTCAAACGTGACCCCAACTTTCTTGAATGGAAAAGGCAAGGATTTGGAACTGTTAATTTTTTGTCAACGTTTAGATGGTTGATAAAGAATATTAAATAACACTTGAAGGGCATTTGTGTCTTTTTCAAATGCCACTTAACGACTGGTTAACAGCTAGTTAACGGCAGGTATTGGATTGTCGCATTTTAAAAGTTTGGGTACTGAATTGTTGCATTTTAAAGTTCGGGGACCAAAATGACACTAGGCCCAAAGTACAGAGTACTAATCGGGAATTTTCCCTAGGAATTATTACTCTGTAAGATCAGAGTGAATGGCTGTACTACAAGATTTTGGGTTGGCAATGAACATGAACTTGGAAAGGATTATGCTAGAAGGTGATTCAATAATGGTGACAAGTTGGCTTAAGTATAATGACCAGGGCTGTGCTATTACAAGGAAGATCTTAAGTAAATCAAATGGACAACTAGGAACATAGAGGTTACAGTCTAGTGGATTCCAAGGTCACCACATAGATGGCTTGCCTGATGCTCTAGCCAAACAAAGGGTGATTAAGAGCAGTTGTTTTCGGCTCAGATGTGAAGTATATAATTGAAAGGGGCTAGGCCGGAATGTCTAGCCTAAAAGTGGACTGTGTGTAAAGTTTGTAAATATTCTGTCTTATATTAATAATTGAGTTCCAATTACTGATAAAAAAAACCATTACATATAGCAAACCATAGGAGATGGAGGAAGAGAAGATGAACATTGTCTTATAACCCGAATGGTTTAAACAACGGTATTATTAACCATTGTTGAATTCTGCTTTGAAAACATATTGGAAAAAAGTAGCACAAAATAAAAATTAAACAATGTAGTGCAAGTTTATCCTAAGCTTACAAGATCAAAAATGGAGAATGTGTTATCATAAAATAGTACAGCAATACGTCCTCTGCTTCGATCTCCAGCAACAACAGGTGAGAATTTGATTCTTCGGATTCCTTCCCTGTGAGTGTTAAATGATGAAGAAAGGCCACTTGTTACATCCCACCATCGTATGTTCCCTGACCTGTCCCCCATAACCTGATAAGTTTTACAGTTCAACAAGGACAAATTTTGTAAGACTGAAGGATCAATTTCTATAAAGAAAAAAATACCAATTAAATGCAAGAATGTCCAAAACATCTGATACATACTACATGGGGAAGGCGATAGGCCATTGCAGTAACTAATCCATCTGATGAAACAAATGATGTTGATGGCCACTTTGGTCTGAAGCCAGAAAAGGAAAAAAAGAGACAGGTTTCATGAGATGACACAGTAAAAAATCAATTATTAACTTAGGAAAAAGTCGTCACATACTTCATAACAATCATATAGCAGAAATTCATTTTTAATGAAAATTATGAAATAAGTAAATGAGAAGCTCTTATTCTCACTAATGTAACACAGAATAAAATGGTGCATGTATTGAAAAATATGATAATCAGTCAATCTGAACAATCATTTCTACAGTAATTGCTATCCTTGAAAAGGAGATCTGTCCCCGAAGTCCTTGGCTATGGCAATCAAAGAAGAAACCATGTGTTTATGCATACCAACTTCTAAGACCGCTTCAATAGGTAAGGTTCAATGATTAAAAAGAAAAAGAAGAATAAGGGAAAAAAAAAAAAACTCTAGCATTTCTTCCACCCCATGTCAATAGCACAATGAATAATATTCCATAGTGCTTTGCCAATCTTATTAATTGTAGAAAACACCACCTTATGCCAAAAAACTCCAAAGTAAGCTAAGAGTAAGGTCCAGAATTTGCAATGGATAAAAAAGATGATTGAAAGTCTCAGCTACTACATGCATAGAGCATCTGCCAATCTGCCTCTATAACTCTCTATACCTACTAATCCTTGGGTACTTCCCTGAAGTGGTAGTCCAAACCATAAAGGCCATTTAGGTGGATGCTTGGGGGTCTCACATCCGTACAATAAAAATAATCCCCCTAACTTGAGCAAGAAGGTTTGAGAAGGACAGAGATGTGAAGCTTTCAGAATGGTCCAAAAGCATAACTACCGTGGGATTTGCTTTCTAACTTCGGCATCAGCATTGTCATGTCTCTGATCTCCCACAGATTGATATTTCTCTGGAGTTCATGATGTTATATGGCTGCCTGAAAACCTGTGACCACCACATCTCTATCAAGTGCAATAGCATAAAAAGTGAGGAAGGCATCTTTAGTTGGTCACTATTCACACTAGGGGTCACTTTAAAATTTGACTCTAGAGCCAAAACCCAGACTGTACTGCATGATTATGATCAAGGATGGATAAAAGCCTTTTTAACACCTCTGCAATTGTCCATTCATCCATAGAAGATCTTGACCTCATTTGGCTGCCATATTTTTCTAAATTAAGTGAGCAAAATTCCTCTCCTCTCCTTTTGTATAGTAAAATAAAAACAGCAATAATCCTCACTGTTTAATTAAAATCTTAAGTAGAAAATAGAAGAAGAGAGTTCAGATCAAGGTTCGAAGTATCAATACTCTCAATATGCAGTTTTGCTTTGACCAAAACTCCGCTTTTATTTATCTTTTTGGTGTCAGGCTTTGATAGGGCTATCACATCAATGCCTTTAACTAAACAAATCTGCATATTGAGAGTTTTGTTTTCACCAAAATTCCACTTTTATTTATCTTTTTGATGTCAAGCTTTGACAGGGTTATCACATCAGTGCCTTTTAAACAACATATCAGTGATCCTAAGATACGATACAATACGCCCAACACAGGGTGTATCGTATTCGTATCAATACTTTGAACCTTGCTTCAGATCAATAGAGAAGGGAGAAGAAAAGGGAAGGGTTTTGAGAGAAGGAATCATGAGTATATCCCAGCCCCCAAACCAGAGACACTACACTCCAGTCCCAACCATTAGCGGCAGGTGTACAAGAAGAGAGTATGAGGGGCGGAGAAGTCAGAATAGAAGGGGAGGTGGAGGAAGCCTAGGGGCACCAGGGAGAAAAAATTTGGGAACTAGTGTGTGATTTCTTTGAGGACTTGCTTAAGAATGAAGAAATAGGGGAAGCATTAGAAAAGATATCGGATAAACAGGAAAATGATCAGATGAAAAGGGACTTAATTGGGGAGCTCAAGGAGCATGGAGGAGAACCTCTGGTGGAATTAGTTGGGGAGTTGGGCCTTCAGGTGAAAGAGTTAGGACGTTAAAGTTTATTCCAAAAAGAAGGGAGAGAAGGAGGCTCAAAGAAAGAGAAAGTTGACTGAGGTAGAAAGGTTGAAATCTGATGTAGCAGAGGAACTAGAATTCAGTGCAAGGGGGGAAAGAAGGAAAGGTCCAAAGTAGAGGAAAAAGGCTAAGTGGTGGTTCGATATAAGTTGACAAGAAGATAATTAGCTGGAATGTTAGGGGGTTGGGCTGTGCTAGGAAGAGGCGAGTAATAAAGGATCTATTTAGACTGATCAAAAAATAAATAAATAAAGGATCTACTTAGAAAGGAGAATCTTGATATAGTGTTGCTACCGGAAACAAAAGTTGCAGATATGGATAAAAGATGGGTGAGAAGTGTGTGGACATCTAGAGATATAAGAAGGTCCTTTATACCGTCATTGGGTGCTTCCGGGGGCATAGTAACATTGTGGAGGACTGAGATGGTGGAGCCCTTGGAAGAACTAATAGGCCATTTCTCACTTTCCCTAAAATTCAAGAATGTGGATGATGAGTTTACTTGGGTATTGACAAATATCTATGGGCCCAATAGATATAAAGAAAGAGGTAAAATGTGGGAAGAACTGTTTGATATTAGGGGTCTGTGGAATGACCTTGGTGTTTAGGGGGAGACTTCAATGTCGTCAGACACTAACAAGATGAACAATCCCAATTAAATAGTCTCTACTAGTATGAGTAGGGATAGAGCTAGGATTTTTTCTTGAGGGGGGACCAAAAAGTAATAAACACAGATAGGGGGGCCAAAAGTTAATAAACATGGGTAGGGGGACCAAAATATAGGTAAGATTGAAATGGCTATTGTGGGGATTGTCAAGGCATAGGGAGGGCCATGCCCCCCCTCTCTACCACCCCCTAGTTCTGCCCCCGATTATGAGGAAGCTTAATGATTTTATAGGAGTGTGAGCTAAAGGAATTTCTCACCCAGTAGAGTTTATTCACCTGGTCTAATTTACAAATCCTCCCTAGTTGCTCAAAGCTAGACAGATTTATTTTCATTCAAGAGCTTTACTACGAGTTACTTCTAACAATTGCCGAATTAGCATTGGAACTAAAGACTTTTCAAGTGGCCGAAAACCTTTTAGGTTTGAGAATGTGGCTTACACACCCTAACTTTGTCCATAAGATAGACGAATGGTGGGGAGCTGAAATGCAAGGTGTATGGTGGAAAGGTGTAAAATTTCATAGGAAGCTACAAAGGCTTAAATGCAAATTCAAAGAGTGGAACAAAGATCATTTTGGACGAATAGAGGAGAGGAAATTATTGGCAACTGTTTTCAGCCGATGTAATATAAGAAGAAGAGAAGAGAAGAAGAAGAGAGAAGAGAAAAGAAGTTGAGAGAGACAAAAACCATGGCTGGCAGCGCCAGCCTTTATATTTATACTAGGGCGACCATACAACTTAAAAGGAGAAAAGACAAAAGTGCCCTTGTGGAACACATCTAATATTGCATCGGTAACTTCTCAAATTGAGCATTTGGATGCCAAGGAAAGTCAAGGTTCAAGAAATGAGGAAGAAATCGAGGCAGAAATCGGTTCGATTAAGAAGAAAATTTGGTTGAGGTAAGAAATCAGTTGGAGGCAGAAATCGAGGCACCTATGGATCAAAGAGGGGGATGGGAATACTAAATTTCTCCATGCACTTGCTAACGGAAGAAGAAAAAATTTTGTGGAGAAATTAGAAGTAAATGGAGAAACTCTATTCGATCAAGAAGAGATTCATAATTGTTTTGTGGTTCATTTCAAATCAGTTTTTAAAAGACAAGAGGATGCGGGTGCTACTCTAGAAGGACTAGATTGGCCAAAACTGAATCCGGATTTAGCAAGAGTGTTGGAAAGGGATTTTGATTTGGAGGAGATAAGGGGAGCTGTCTTTTCAATGGATAGATCTAAAGCTCCAGGACCGGATGGTTTCACTATGGATTTTTATCAGGATTGTTGGGAGATAATTAAAGCAGACCTTTGGTCAGTCTTTGAGGAGTTTTCTAGGGAACACTTTATTAGTCCAGGAATAAATTCAACTTTCCTAGCTTTGATCCCAAAGAAGGGAGGTACCAATCAATCGAGAGATTTCAAACCAATTAACCTCTGGTAACAAGTATTTATAAAATCTTGGCCAAAGTGTAATCTTTAAGATTAAAGCCAGTCCTTCCCGGTTTGATAAGCCATTCCCAAGGGGCATTCATTTAAAGGTAGATAGATCACAGATCAAGTTTTGATAGCTAATGAATGTGTGGAGAATTTTAAAGAAAGGGAAAAGAAAGGTTTTGTGTGTAAATTGGACTTGGAGAAAGCTTATGATATGGTTGATTGGTCCTTCCTCTTGAACACTTTGGAAATTTTTTGGTTTGGAGAGAGATGGTGCAGATGGATAAAAGGATGTCTGAAGACACGTCATTATTCAATCCTAGTTAATGGAGTGGCCAGAGACTTTTTCCCAGCAACTAGAGGTTTGAGGCAAGGGGATCCCCTTTCTCCTTTCCTATTTACCTTGGTAGCTGAGGTGTTCAATAGTCTTATCATAAGAGCTGATAGCTTGGGACTTTTTAAAGGCTAGGTTGGGAGAGAGAGCACAGTTGTTACACATTTGCAGTTTTGTGATGATACAATTATCTTTTCTGAGAGTGTTGATCCTCAGAAGGCAAGTAATTTGAAGCAGGTGATCAAACTGTTTGAATTTGTCTCCAAGTTAAAGATCAATTTTGGAAGGAGTTGTGTAGTGGGATTGAACTTGGGAGAGGAGGAGATGGCTGAGGTTGCAGAAGCCTTAGGTTATCCTACCGCTAGGTGGCCTTTGAAATATCTAGGTATGCCTTTAGGAGCCAACCCATAGGAAGGAAGCTTTTAGAGCCCAATTATTGAAAGATGTGCCAAGAAACTGTCAGCTTGGAAGAGGAATTATGTGTCTCTAGGGGGTCATATTACTCTGATTAAGTCTATTTTAGCAAACCTTTTAGTTTTCTTCCTCTCAGTATTCAAGATGCCACACTTGAATAAAATAAAATAAAAGAACAAAATTTGTTCTGATGTAATTCAGGAAGAAGAAAAAAAAGTCAACTATGCTTCGAAGAGAAGAAGAAGAGGAAGAGAGAGAAGAGAGAAGAGAAGAAGAAAAAGGGATTTGGTTAGATAGATCTGCCACCCCACTAGATGTTATATATATTTATGTCCTTACAAAGGTGGGAGTTACTCTAATACCCCTACTTAAAATAAAAGACAAATAAACAAAAATAAACAAGGCCCAATTGGCCCAACTGTAATAAAAAGAAATAAAGAATAAAATAAAATAAGTGTGGGGCTGGAACCAAACACACACACACACACACACACACACACACACTAAAGAGCTACTAACTATCTCTACAGCCACAAAGGGTGGTATTGAAAGTAGAGAAGATCATGAGGGAGTTCTTCTGTGAGCTTGGTGAAGGAAGGAAAGATCACCTAGTAAGATGGGATCCAGTTTAGAAGTAAGGAGCAAGGAGATAGCCATTAGAGAGAGAGAGAGAGAAGCTTTGGCATAAGGTTGTGGGAAGTATTCATGGTTATGCAGGAAATGGTTGGGATTCTGGAGTGTCTCGGCGGGCTACTCTAAACTCCCCGTGAAAGGCTATTCGTGGTATCCTTCCCCAATTTCTCAGCCTTATCAGGTATGATGTGTGTACTGGTGATAGGATTCCCTTTTGGGAAGAGACCTTGATTGGTATTTCCACCCTTAAGGACCTTTATCCATCTTTGTATTCCATCTCCCTTTTTTAAAGCGAACACCATTCAAACTTTTGTTTCTTTCTCCCAGTCCTCTGGCTTCAGTTGAAATTTGGGTTTCAGAAGAGATCTAAGAGACTCTAAACTTGATCAAGCTGCTTTGTTACTCAAAACCCTAGACTTTGTTTGTTTGGACTTTTCTAAACCTGATGCTAGAATCTGGACTCCCAATTCTCTGGGTCTTTTTTCCTGTGCCTCTTTTTTCTCCCAGTTGTGCTCAGTCCCTAACCCTCAACCTTTCTCTTGGAAGGAAGTCTGGTTTAAGCCCATTCCCCCTAAGGTTGGAGCCCTTTGTTGGGAAGTCTCTCTTGGGAAAATTAAACACTTTGGATACCTTGCAAAAGAAGAGGCCAACTTTTGCATCTCCCCAAGCTGGTGTTTCCTTTGCAAAGCAAATTGAGAGAGCTGTTACCATCTTCTAATTTCTTGCCCTTTTGTTGTAAATCTTTGGGAAAAATCTTTTGGTCCTTTTGGGTGTAGGTGGACAATACCTCTGCAAATCAGGGGGCTTTTCAACCCTACAACTTTCAGGTGGCCTAAGAGAAGGGGTAGAGTTTTATGGAGATGTGTTAGGGCTGCTTTAGTATGGACAGTTTGAGAGGAAAGAAATAACAGGATTTTTAATGATAAAGAAATGGATGTAGCTACCGTTTAGGAATGTCTGCTAATAGGGCTATTAACTAGGCCAAAACTGTGGATTTATTCTCACTTTTCTCCTTTGATGACATATGGAAAAACTGGGAATCTGTTGCAAACTCTTCTTCGGTTAAGGACAAACTTGTTGTAGGCTGGAAGCCCCCAGAAGAAGGCTTCATAAAGCTCAATTTTGATGGTGGCAGCCTTGGCAATCCAGGACCTTCTGGTATTGGGGGTGTATTTAGGAATGAAGAGGGATAGGTTGTTGCCTTATTCTCTGGCCCAATTGGAGTGGAGGATGTGGTTAGTGCAAAGGTGCAAGCTGCTGTACAGGGAGCACAAGTTGCTAAAAGAGTTGAACTTTGGGAGGTTGATCATTGAAGGTGACTCTAAAGTGGTAACTGGGTGGCTAAAAGAACCGGAGATAGTAGCTTGGTCTTTTAGGGGAGAAATGAGGAGATTCAAGTGGCTTCCTTCTAATCTCACAGTGAGAGTTCAGTGGGAGAAAAGAGGTCAGCAAATGGGATGACTGACCTACTAGCTAAGCAAGGGGTGAACAGGGATCACTTATTCTGGGCTCAATTGTAATTTTACTTTGTTTTTAAGGCAGCAACCCGCACCTTCTAGGAGAACTCTATTTTGTATCCACTTGTTAGTTTACTTTATTTATTCATCTTAATAAAATACAAAACAAAAAATCCCAGCCCCAAACCAAGGTCCAAAATATCAATACAGGCCGATACGCCAATTGGGGCATATCAGTCTGTATCAAGCATCGCTTTTTTTTTCAGTTTTTTTTTCAAACTGGTTTAGAAGGGTCGGTTTAAGGCCTGCCTACCCCCCGAACCAGGCCACACCCCAAAACACCCACTATAGGGGTATATCGGGAGGCGACCGATACATTCCGATATTTTGAACCTTGCCCCAAACCTTGTTTTATAGGATAACATAATATAACAGCCAAAATGGGTAACAAAGTACGTTTCTGGGAGGATATCTAGCTTGGGGACATTCCTCTCAAAGACAGATTTCCACCTATTTATTCTTTGTCCCTCAACAAAGGGAGAGTGATTTCTTCAGTGCTTGTTAATGAAAACTCTTGGGATCTAGGATTAAGGAGAGGGTTAAGGGAATATGAAATGGGCTTAATAGATGAACTAATCTCCCTTCTTAATACTGCTCTCCTGGACCTCTCTTGTCAAGACAGCAAGATCTGGTCAGAGTCCCCCTTTTGCTCCTATACCTGCGCCTCTTTTTTCTTCGCCCTCCTTCAATCCTCACACCCAGGAGGCTCCTTTCTTATAAAGGAAGTCTGATGTAGTCCTGTACCCCCAAAAATAAGAGCCTTTTGTTGGAGGTGGTGCTCCAGAAAATTAATACTGTGGATAATTTACAAAAAAGAAGGCCGAATCATTGCCTCTCCCCTCATCTTTGTTGCCTTTGTTTGGGAAATGGTGAGACAGTAACACATCTTTTACTTTCTTGTCCCTTTGCTTCTTGTGTGTGGAATTGGTTTTCTTCCTTATTTGGCTGCAGTTGGACTCCTCCCCCGGATGTGACAAGTCTTTTCAACCCAAGTTTCTTCCTACTATCAAAGAAAAGGGGAAGAGTGATGTGGAGGGCAACAAGAGCAGCCATTCTTTGGTCTTTATGGGAAGAAAGGAATAACAAAATATTCCAAGGGGCACAAAGACCAACAGAACAAATCATTGATTGCATAGCCATTAAAGTCATGCATTGGCTGAAAGTGACTTATTTAAAGACTTTTCAATGGATGATATACAAAGGGGTTGGTCAGTAGTGGCAAACTCTTCAACCAGACAGCCTGTCCTTCAGCCTTCTTGGACACCTAGAGCACAACAAAGGGTAAAATTAAATTTTGATGGAAGCTCCATGGGTAATCCAGGACCCTTGGGAAATGGGGGAGTCTTTAGGGATGGGGGGCAGAATGGTGGCACTATACTCTGGTCCCATAGGAATGGGAGACTCTACGAGAGCTGAAATTTTGGCTTTCCTACAAGGCCAGAGATTTGCCGAGCAATGAGAATTTCAGAACTTGGAGGTGGAAGGGGACTCTAAATTGTTAATAGGGTGGCTGCAAACAAAGAAGTTGGGTGTATGGATGTTTAGACAGCAAATAAGGGAAATAATCTACTTGGCAAGGGAAGTTGGAGTAACACTCAAATGGGTAAGGAGATCAGCAAACTCTGTGGCAGATACTTGGCAAAACAGGGGACTTTCATGGAAAACTTCTTTTGGGCTGTACTGTAATTCTTGATGTTATTTTGGGGTCAACACTCTTTGTCTCAGTGGTTGACAGTGTAAGATGTTTATTTGATATCCTTAATGAAAGTTACCATTTCCAATCAAAAAAAAAAAAAGCCAAAATGCTATGGCTGATCCCATTGTATCCTGTTAAGAGTATGGTTATGTTCTCGTCTCCAAGGGGAGGTAAAATCTCGTGCCTCCTCTTAGGGTGAATGTATACTTCCTTTTATTAATAAAATCATCATTCATTTATCAAAAAAAGTTTTCTTTTTATATAGTTGTGTTTGACTATTTTTTATCAGTAATCGTTGTATTTGACTATTTTTTTATCAGTAATCGTTATGTTTGACTATTCATCAATTCCAATCCACAAGGGAAAAGTAGATGGGAACTTATAAATGTCTTTACATTCCATAGTCTAGCTTGTTTTGATAATAAATAAATAAATATACAAGATCTGTTTGTGATAACTTAAACCCTTTTTAGACAAAATGATTGAACAAACAATTAATAGTATAAGAAAAATATAAGTATAATTAAACAGTAAACAAAAAAATGAAAATAACTTGTTCAACCTGTAGGTTTTCAAGACTGCTATTCAGTCTTGACCACTAAAAGATTTCAGGTTCGATGAGAAGAGAAAGTGAAGAAGAAGTAGAAGAAAGAGTGGTGAAAGAGCAATAGAACACAGATTTTGAGGAGAAGAACAGAATGTCAATATTCTGCCGCCGCCACTTTAAGTTAATATATATAGGTTATGCTAGTTACATGAAAGGACATATCTGCCCTTGATGTTTACATCATAACTGCTAACAAATAACAAACAATATAAAACTGAAACTAGAAATAACAGAATAGCAAAATAACCACAGCTGTGACTAGATACATTCTACCCTACGGACAAAGTGGGACCACAGCTGTGGGGCCCACATCAATGTTCTCTACACAACCAGTTAATAGTATAAAAAATATAAATAATAATTATGAAAACAAGCATAAAATTATGACAAAGAATATGAATTTTATGATGAACTCATCCCCACTGAAGAGGAAAAAAAAATTTACCTGAAATCTCGAATTCTTCTCCCATGAACCTCAAAAACTCCAAGCGCACCATTGACTAGTGCAAATGAAAAACTTTCAGCGGCATCATCAGTGGATGCCTCTAAGTTTGTTGCTTCTGAAAACAATAGTCACATTTAAGTTGCAAGATATGTGAAACTGTAGCAAAGTATAGGTGCAATAAACTGGAAACCAACTAGAGAATTTAATAAAGTCCAAGCTCATCAAACGAAACAAACTTACTAGAATCTGAGGAAGATGCTTGTGTAGGGGAAGCTGCAGGTGAGGCCACATCAGAGTGCTCTTTGGAGGAAATAGATGATTGCTTAGATGGTCCATTATGAACTGGGTGTGGTACTGTTGGAAGTGTCCACTCCAATACAGTGAATGGAAGAGCCAATGATCTAAGCTACATGGGCATATAAAGGATAATAAATTTGCAGAAAGAGAAGATGAGTCTAATAAAAATAAATTGTAAATGATGCAACTAAGATCAGAGAAAGAATATTGAGATAATAGGAAGAATGCACGTTAGACCTGAATGATCAGGGAAAATATGCATTCAGATATACATGCATTTGTACACTGAACAAATATATATTTATGCATCAAGATATGCATGCATGCAAATATGCATATTCTTGTGTGTTGGATATGCCTGTTGTTGCATATTACCCACAAAGAAATATCACCATATGAGGCTTAATTAAAGCAAAAGATAGTATAGCATCCTCCAAGGAATCTGGATCTGCTAGTAACAAAAATCGCTAGGCACATTGCAGTTATGTGCCACCAGCCCTCAACACGTGATTTTTTAAAAGAAGAAAAAACAATGTGCAGAAGTACATTTTCTCACGTTTTGAGGACAGGTGGCACAAAATGATGATGTGCCTAGCATTGTTTTGTTGCTAGCAGATCCAAACTCTCCTCCAGCAGCTAAATTAGATGTATAATTTCAGTGTTTGAGATGATCCCAACTTTTTCCAGCAGTGGGGAGATTCAGACTTGCACAGTAGATTGTTTAGTTGTTTGGATTTTAGTGTAACCTTTTTCAGGATACTTATCTTTTTACCCAAGGCTTCTTTTAGGCTCTCTAGAAGTTAGGGCATCTCTAGCAGTTTGTTAGAGTGCCAAGTGTTGTAATAGGACCAAAAATTTTCAAAGCTGCAGTAGGATAAAATATAAAGAATTTATTATTTATTTTGAGGAATTCTGTGACTACAAAGGAAAGAGTATTCTGAGGCCCAAAATTCGACCATGGTACATAATTTATGTGACACTTCCAGAAGACACCGTTGAGAAGCTTTCTTAGATTATTACAGCACCCAGATGTAATTATCCTAAAGCCTGGGAATAGAAAGTTCACAAACCACTTCCAGGGGACATCACAACAATAGTTTGAGATAGTTTGGTTAGTTACAGAAACAAGAAGTTGACAAAAGAAGCAGTGGGAGTTAAAATACCATAATAGGACTCTTAGTCATAGCCCACACCTCCACAGGAGCATCACGTAACAAAATAACAAGATACCTGCAACAAAATAAGAAAATACATGCAATTAGCTCAAGGCATAAAAGTGGACCAAATAGTAAACCATCATAAAATCTCAATATAATAGCAGAATACTCTCTCCATGTTAGAGGAAAAAGCATGTAAACAAAAAAGAGCAACTGCCCTGAAAGAACACTAGCAAGTAATCTATTAACAAAATCAGCATTTCAATAGTAGAATACTCTTTCCATGTTAGAGGAAACAGCAGTGTTTAGGAAACCGGACCAAACCAGCCAGTCGGACCAGTTGAACCATGACCCGGGGCCCTGGCCGGTTCAATCACACCCCCAGTAACCGTATTTGTTAAAAAACCAGTGAAAACCAGATTACCGGCCGGTTTAACCAGAAAACTGGTGACCCGGTTCCAGTTTCATGAAACCACCCAATCCATTAAATAATTAAAATTTTAAAATGTGTTTAACAAGACTTGACCCATGACCAATTATTTTCATATAATGCTTAATTACCACTAGTCCGAATGACTCTTTATTGTGTGTGTGTGTGTGTGTGCACACACACACACACACAATAAAGAACTATAGGGAAATTTAAGTACAAGCAGAGGGAGGTAAATTGTCTTAACTCCCCCACAAGCAAAACAAATAAAACAAGATTAGAAATGAGCCCAAAACAAAGAATCCCTATTCACCCCTTGCTTGGCTAACCCATCAGCAAATGAGTTAGCAGTTCTCTTCATCCAACTGCATTTTATCTCAATGTCCTTAGCCATCCATTAGAATTTTATCTCTTTATTGCATTTATACTTTATTACACATATTTTAAAGAAAATGTAAACTAAAAGGCTTGAACCCTAGTCATTTGCTTTAAAAATTAAAGAATTTACCATCCATCCCCCATATTTAATTATATAAAAAGTTGTAAAATATATTATATATAGTATTTTATGACCCATAGTATATACATATATACCACATCATCATGGTCCAACCTCCGGTTTGACCCTGGTTGAACCTCTGACCTGTGAACCTTTCTCCCTTCTCCAGTTCTATGCCTGGTCTGGTTCTATGAACATTGGGAAAAAGCATGTAAACAAAAAAGAACTGCCCTCAAAGGAACACTGGCAAGTGATCTATTAACAAAATCAGCACTTCATTCAAAGAAAGTGCCGATTTGAAATTTTCATCATGTGAAAAAAAACCTCCAACACAAGCATGTGAATACAAAATATCATTCATTAGTGTCTTTTTTTTTTTTTTTTGAGAAAAGGCAAAGTATAGATGTATCATCATTATCATCATCCAAACCTTATCCCAACTATATGGGGTCCGCTACCCAGCCCCTGTTTCTTTACAAAAAGATTCCCATATACAAAAAAATAAAATAAAATAAAAATTACAATTTCTATCTGTAAATAATCTATAGATTGATAACCAAGAGAACATTTTCCCCAATATTTTTTTTAATACAGAATCTACAGAGCCTCCCTTGTTTTTTGAAAATCCTGTCTCCTCTCCTGCCAAATGCACCCAAAAACCATTGCTGGCATAATATTCCACACCAATCTTCCCCTCTTACTCAAGCCTTGAATTTTTGATAAGTGGTAAGAAGTGTACTGTATTAATAATGAAGAAGAGGGTGAGAAACCCTCAATCATATACAAAAAGAAGTGTGCCTTTAACTATGTAAAGATCATGTACAATGAAAGCTTGTATAGCAAAAAAAATAATAATAATAATGGACCATCAATGACTGGAAAATTAGCTGGCAGGCACACCCACAAAAAACTTTGACCACCTGGTCCAACTCAAAACCAATATCTCCACCTTCCCTATAATAGCCTCCACTGCAACGGACTTAGACTAAAAAATCCTTTGATTGCACTCCTTCCACACCACCCAGAAAACTGCAAAAGGCAAGCTATTCCACAGAAAACAGCCTTTGTCCGAGAAACAATTATTCCTCCATCCTGAGATCAAATCACCCACAAAGGAGGGGGGACCCAGACTAAGTGAAACAGCTTAATGAAATGGTGCCAAACCTGGTAGGTGTAAGGGCAATGAATCAAAAGATGGTGGATAGATTCAGGGCATGTCCCGCACAAACTACAGGTGTCATCCGCTCCAATCCACGTCTCAGGAGGTATTCAGCAGACTGAGCCTTATCCCTAGTAAATAAGTCTACCAAAACTCATGGCCATGGTTTCAAATGTCACCAAATGTCGCTAATGTTGCCCGACATATGTCAATGCCGAGGCTCACCGACATGAAAATGGGTGGTAATATAAAAATTACATTATTTCAGTCGACATTTCCTATATTTCGGAAATGTCGACCAAATCAATCCAAATAACCAAAAAAAAGATAGTTTTTCCTATCATGTCGACAGGATGTCGACTAATGCACATTAGTAATATTAATATAAATAATTCCATTAATAATTTCTATTTAATATTTCAAATAAAATATTTATAAAAAGAATTAACAAAATATAAAACAAAAGAATAAATTAATTACTTTACAATATAAAACATAAAATATTTTTCAAGTAATAAAATATTAACTAGTTAGTATTTTTTAAAATATTTATTAAAATCAGAAAATGTTTATTAACTTTTATAATAAATCATATTCTACATTTAATACAAAAAATCAGAATAAATTTATTAAATTTTATACTAAATCATAATTTATTATAAATTTAGTATTAAACATCATAATAAATTCATTAATTTTTATAAGAATTCAGAATTTATCATAATCTTAATACTACAAAAAGGAGAATCAGTTTATTAAATTTATAATAAAACATAATGTATTATAACTTTAATATTTAAAA